AGAATAATTGGTTTATTAATTTTTCTTTATTAATCATTATTTCATTGAATTTAAAATAAATAATAATTCTTATTTTATTTTATTTTGTAAAAATTGAAGTAAAATTTCAAATAATTTGAATTAATTTAAAAATATGAAAGTTTTTTTTTATCTTCCGTAACTTTTAATCTGATTGAAATAAAATCAACACTACTAATAGTCATTAATAACTGCATAACCCAAAGCTCTCTACTTTCATTAGCCATTTAGAATATGTTCAATAATGACTTTTAGTATCGCACAATAACAAGTTTCAGCAACATTTAATAGCCTCTAGCAACTGATATGTGTCAATATTTTAACAGGAATAAATAATAGCTTGTAGCATGTATAGACAATATATGCATTATAAAACATATTTTGCCTATAAGTAGTTTAATATTTATGGAAACATTTAAGGGTTGAATTATGAGGATGACAAATTAAAAGTATTAAATTAAAAATTTTATGAGATTTAAAAAATTTGATTTAAAAAATTTTTTCGTTTTAATTTAACATAATAATTTTAAAGCACTCTAGAAGTAGAAAAAAAACTATTCTATATTTTTAATTTTTAAAATCTAAAAATTTTCCTACACTTTGCGGTTTTTTTAGCATTGCAATTTTTTTTTACAAAAGTTATTTTTTTTTTAAGTGTCAGAAATAAGTACACTTTATACCGGGATACAATTTGTAAGTACCCAGCTGTCCACTGTTAGGCTGGGCTTAACCTACGCGAGTCTAATTTATGCTATAGTAACTGTCTGAAATTCAGTGTGAGTGTGTTTTAACTAGAATCGTATACATTGAAATAAAATAAGTTATTTGTAATTTAAATGTAAAAATATATTTTTTTTTAAACAGATTATATGTGCATTCTTTAAACAGTTTGAAAAATGTAATAGCTTCATGTTAAAAAATATGAAGCTTTTTTTAACATTTTTTTTACGTCGAAGTAGTGCTTTTTTGAAATATAATTTTCAACTCGTCGCGATTGCAGTGAAACGATGCAAACAAAAAGTTGTGTTAAACGGGAAGTAATGAAAATTCAAAGAGAGAAAAAAAAGTCCAGTCTGTCGATAAGCGCAAACGAAAATACGGGTAGGGTAGTTGGGGAAACACGGGGTCGAGAACGAGGTGAGAGTCGTCTGTCGAAAAGCAATTCCGCTTCTACTGTGCGCTTCTGAATTGGAAAGCAAATTAAGGGCAATCCGTGGGTAATTGTCGGGCGTTTACTCAGTGGCTATGCCTTAGAAACTCTAAACGAATTCGTTGGTCGTGCGAAATGAAGCTGGAATTTGCAGCGACCCTCAACGTTCTAAGCGAAATAAGACGCAACGCCATCGGAGCATCTGTTGCTCTCGTGTGCTGATACCAACAAGTGGGTATCTACCGAAATTTAAGGGATGACGGAACAAATGGGTAAAAGAGATTGGGAAGTTAAAGGGGGTGGTGGAGGAAGCTCAAGAGAAAACTCGGTGCTTCACATTGCCGAGGATATAGAATGGTTACGCCTCTGCACTTTGATTACGTTCCGAAAAAGGAAAGTCGATTTTGTCATATATAGTGGACGATATATGGTCGCTAGAGAACAATGGTTTATTCGGGTGGCAAAAAAAAATAGTTATAAAGGATAAACGTGAATAGTGATGAAACTTTGTGATATACAAATTGATATACATAGATTGGAAAACTTGTTTTGATAGTAGCAAATTATTACAGCTCAATAGCTTTTGAAGCTAAATTACATTCGCTTTTGGTTATATTTGCTGACTAGTAAATGATGGTTAATGTAAAGTAAATGTTTGTCAGGTGTTTCCTCAATATCATCCATCGATGTGAAATCGTTCATTAATTGGAAAAGGCTAGCAGTAAATTCTATTTAAAAATTTCTTTATGAAAAAAAAAATTATTTGCAAATACAGCGCAGGAGAAAAATTATTCTTTAAAAGAAAAAAAAAAAAAATTTCTATTATTTTTCTAATCAAAACTTGGTGGCATTCACAAATATCAGAAATTTCAACTATATCCATGTTGAAGTTTCGTTTTAGATTGTCGGCGATTGTTAAAATGTATGCATGTGCAAGAGGATGGAGAATAGCTCCGTAACAGATCTGGGTTGGCTAGAGGATCATAGGAAAAGGAATAGGGTCACTGCAAAGGAGGGCGCCGGAGGGAGCGCAGGCGCCATTTCACAACTTGCGTCGGCCATCTTGTGCAGTGTATCCGCCGTTGTGCTTCGACGTCAAGATGTGTGTGGGGAGAATATAACCCTTCCTGTTATCGAACATTGCAAACGAGACGACTTTCATAATCACAATTTTGCAGTTCTCTGAAAATGTTCACCTTTAGTTTCAAGAAATCTTTTCTATATTCTAGAAATAATGTTAAAATTCACACTTTTCCTTTGTTTTTTTACTTTTTGGGGAACTTTTTTTTTCCCTCTATTCGACTTATGAAAAAATGTGATTGAAATGGGGGAAGGAAAAAAATGTCTGTTTGCCAAGACAAACGGATGACTACCTGTTGCTCTGCTAATTTCATCGAGAATCCGTTGCCCAGAGTTATGACGTAACACTTGCGTCACTTTGGATCGATGAGAACACGAATTGGGATTGGATGCCTGGATGAAACGTAAAATGTGTCGTTTATTGACTTTTCTAATTGTATCCAAATTGTTCGGTTAAAGTTCACACTCTTGAGACATGTTAGGCAAATTAGATTTTCATTAGATTTTTTTCACACTTTTTTTTTATGTATAAAATTAATGATATTTCTTTTGTTTTTGTTCAATAATAATTTTTCGGTTTCTTTAATAAAGAAAATGGTCCATTATTCTTATAACAAAAAGTTAACAAAGTTAGTCGTAAAATTTAACCAAAAGAAGTTGCTTTCTTGAAACTATTTATCTAACTAAAGGCAACTATACAGTTGGACAATAACAAAGTGAGGTTGAAAATGTCTTCTACTTTTATTTCTTGAAATTTTTCTTCAAGTGTAATTCATGGTTGAATGTTTGATTATTTTACTTTGAAAATTATTTGTCGTTTTATTTTTTATAATTTTTTCTGTTTCCAACTTTGTTTTTTTTTGGGTATTTTCTTCTAAAGACTTAAAATTGGGAAAAGAAATGAAAGTTACTGTAATGTTTTGTGAGAGCGATCATTGGCTGTGGGTAACTAAATCATTGTAAGTACCTAATCGTCTTCGGTTGAAATGATGCGCATTCGTTGGTACACAGATTGGTGCGTCTTAATGGACTCTTGCAAAGAAATTCATTAGATGATTGTCTAATTAAGTTAATCGACGGAGGAGCTATTCGATTCTGGCGTCTTGTGGCTATAAAGTCTACTTTATGCTGCCATACAGTCTAGGTACTAAAGCCACACCAAATTACTGAATTACTGCCTTGCGCGGCATTCACCATCGCATTACGAGAAGCCAAGCTGTGCCCTCAATAGAACGAAAACTTTACTTTTCTTGAATTATACTAACCCTTCGAGTTCACCAAACACGCATTTAGTTTCTCAAAATTGTTCAAATTTTACGAAAAATATCAAAATTGTCATTTATATTCTAAAGTTTGATAAATTCAGTTTTTATAAATATTTTTTACAATAGTTTTACTTAATTTTAAAGTTTTGTTTTTAATAAATCTCATTTTTAGATTTGAAATTTCTGCTAAATAGAATAAGAGATTTAGAAAAAAAAAAAAAATTAAACTCAAAACACAAAAAATGGTCAAAAGAAATGAAGTAAAAGAAATAGGAGATGAGTTGCGTTTCACGCCCTGTTTCGTGAAAAGAGACGAGGACTTAGATTAGGGGTTGGTCCGTTCTCTCTTCCTTTGTAGTAGGCAGTCATCGGATCTCGTTTGAAATTAACTTCTCGTGTCAAGAGGTTGTCGTGAAGGAAACTTTTCTCTTCTCGGGGATAAATAAAAGTCCGAGAAAAAAGAGGATGACCACGTTGAAACTACAGGTTTTGTGTGGCTGTAAGCTTGAAGATTTCTTCGACTTTTTTTTTTCATTCCTTTCTTCTTTCACATAAAGTGACGTTGTTAAAAGTATTAATTTCTTTTTTTCTTTCGTTTTTCAGGTTTTGAAACTCTGAAAGTTTTTTTTAAAAAAAAAAAAAGATTCTGCAAATATTTCAAAAAAAAGAGTATAAAATCTTTAATTTTTAAAAAAAATACTAATATTGGATGCATTTTTTAATTTTACCAGGTTTTTTTTCTTTTTTTTAAACATTTTTCCATTGAGTGAAAAATGTTTAATTTTGATAGGTCCTTCTATTGGGTAAAAAAATAGTATTGAACACAAAGTTATCTGTTTTTTTTCCTCTCGATACTTTTTTTTTTTCATCAAGTTTGTTGTGAATGAAGTTAAAATGTGTTTCGGCCTTTTGTCTATATAAAATGTGAACTAGTGGCACACACACACATAGACACAGTAGCAGATCGATGGACTTTTATTTTTCAATTCCCCAGATTCATGTAGATTTATTCTGTAAATCTAACGAAGTTAGGTTTTTATTTTTCATGTGAAATCGCCTTGCATCGAATTCGTATTCCAAGCTGTACGGAAAAGCACGATCACGTCGGTTTTCATTTATTCACAGGAGTTAGCGTGGTTTCGCAAAACCGCACCATGCAAATCAATCGAAACATTCGAAACGTGGCTAATCGGCATATCCGGCTGATTTGTCGGAACCTGGCATTTGTTTTTCGTTCGTGTGTGCATTGATCGACGATAGTAAAAAAAAAAAAAAAAACCCCGAAAATAAATAAAAGTAATTATAAAATAAACACAAACGATTTTGAAAATGTGAACCAGTTCAATGTGAAACGAAATATTTCAAATTCTAGAGAAGAGGGGGGAAAAAAAAGTAAAATAGGTTTACTTACTCATTAAAGAATAATTATTTTTAAGACAAAAAAAATTTGTATCTTTAGGTATTAATTATGTACATAATAATGTAAATTATTTTTTAAAAATTTGTTTTTTTTTTATATATAATAATTACAAAATTAGCATAATTGTACATATTTATAATTTTCATTTCTATCTTATAATATTTCATTTAGTATTTTTTGTTTGTGATTTTTAAAGTTTAAACTTCTTCTCATGGTATAGTAATCTTATCAAGAATCCTGAAATACATAAAAATGAAATTAATTTATATAAATCAATTAATTTATTTTTATTATAAAATAATACATATAAAGTTTAATACCTTTGGACAACAAATTAATCCTTGTCTCTCAGATTCATTCTCATGACATTCGTGCAATACTAAGTTATTTAATGAGGGAATATTACATAAATTAGACTGAACACAAATTCCTGGGATTGTTTTTCCTTTTCGTGAATATCGACAATTGATTTCTGCTTTTTTAAAAAAAAATGATTAAAATTAATTAAAGTTTGGACAAAATATCCGCCTGCTTGAAAAAAATATTAATATATTTTTTTTAGCCATTTACCTGTAACTTCTTCCATTGACTTGATTGATATATTCATGTAAAGACGATAATTAATTTCACCCAACGAATAATGGGAACATAAAATAATAATTATTAATTAATTAGTGAAGTTTAATACTTACAAAAATTATACATGAGTACATATATAAATAGTTTTTACCTTTGGACAACAAAATAATCCTTGCTGTTGGGATTTGTTATCATTACAAGGGAATAGTACATCTAATTCAGGATATATTTTTGCACATTTACCAGGTTTTATACATGTTCCAGGCAATTTAACTCCATCCGATTGTCGATACGTACAGTCGATTTCTGTTTCTTTATAAACGAAAAAAATTTATATGCTTTCAATAAATTTTAAATTTGATTTTTAATTAAATATTTTCTACTAAGCAAATATAACAACAATAATAATTATAATAATTAATAAGAAATTTAAAAAAATTATAAATAAAATTTACCTGCTACCACACTGTAGACGAATAAAAAGGAAACGTAAATTATTGATGTCAGCATCATGATAAAAAAAATAAGTAAATTTTCCCAAAAGTTAAAAATTCTTTAAAAATTCAAAGCTTATATAGAAAAATTAGTGACGTAATCTTTTCAATGGATCCATAATCACTGTTTGTTAATACAAAAATTTTAATTCTAGAATCAATGGAAAATTATCTTATTAATAGAAAAATGTGTTTCACACATTCTTATCATAAATTTATTCATACTTTTATTGTTAAGAAAAGATAAGAATAAAAATGATTCCTATGATAACGAATTTTTAAAATATTTCTTTAATTCACATTAAAATTTGAATAAAAAATATTACGTGTATCGTGAATATATTCCATGAGTTATCTTTGTGTACTTTTTTCTTTTCATAGGTAAAATAGATTCAAATGCAACTTATAATTAGAAACAATGAAATTTTAGTATAGACGCAAATAATTTTAAAAACCATTTACATTTTTACGAAAAAAATTTTTTTCTTCTAAGAATAAATTCTGATTATATTATTATTATTGTTATTGATGAATTAGTTTAGCTACCTTAGATTTAGAATAAAATTAATTTAAAGCATATAACATCAGAATGAATTTTTACTTGCCTAGACGTAAAAATAAAATTGATATTTTTCTCAGATTTATTGAAGTGAAATTTTAGAATGAAAACAAATTATTTAGCAATCTTCGAAATTTGTCTATTTCACTTTTAAAAATAAATTGAACTCGAAAGAGGTCCTGGCATTGATTTACACTTGAAACAGTAAACTTCAGCTTTGGTGAGCATTTCTTGTGATCTTTTTTTTTTTTTTTTTTTATTTTCCTTTCGCGTGTTTTACTTTGTGTCTTGTAAATCGAGTTCCTGTCATTGTGTTGTTGAAAGTCACGGAGAAGACAGCAGTATAAAGACAAAGGCAACCGCAAAAACTTTTACGCTCGTGAATTTGTATCTGGGTCGTAGTCGTGTGGTGAAAAACGGCGGTGGTGGGGCAAAGAGATGAGGGTTTGATAAAAAAAAAAAAGAAAGAAAGAAAGAAAAAAGTAAAACGAAAAAGTCGTGTCAGGAAAACCCCCTTTGGGTTTAAAAGCATGAAGCTTTCCGCAAATTCCGCACGTCGCCGAGGTGCATCGAGTTTCAAGTTACGCGAAATTCAACGCCAAAGTGAAGGAAAATATATGTCACCGAAGACTTGGTTTTGTCGCGTCCTGCTAACATTCTTTTTCCACTATTTCGCGGACGTGATTTACTCCCAAGAAGTAAATGTGAATTTAGTTACATTTCGTGAATCGTGTCTTATAATTATTAAAACTACTTTTGAGTTGAAACTCAATTTTAACGAAAACATACTAATCTACTTAGACAACATTTTTAATATTTTAACAATTAATCTTCTTTTATTTTAAACCCTGTTTAAAATGTTTATTTATCTTAACAAGTTTTCATTTTGGCTGGTTTTCTTTTTTATTTGACAATTAATAGGAATAATGAAAATAATACAGTTTATGTTGACCTTCTTTTATGATTTATGAGTAAAAATGTTATATGCTAAAATGTAGACAAGTAAAAATTTTAAAACTCATAACTGTGAATTAAATAAAATTAGAGATGATTAAAAATGTAAACCGTGAAAGAATTTAATGTGTAATATGTTTTGTATTGCAAGCAAGATATTATTTAATAGCCAAGGATAATTTCCTTGATGATTAAATAATACCGCGCTCATTCGAAAGCGGCGCAGTTAGCGAGAGTTAAATTTTAATCAGACGTAAATGTGACGATCATAACTTTTAATTGTCGAATAAAATGAAAAAATGAAAATCTCTCAACCGTTCTTTCATTTTCAGTTGAGTTAATGTGAACTTAGTTCATTAAAATTTTTTGGATATATAGCGCGTAAGTTGTACATTTTCATAAAACATTCTTTGCTATAATTCAATATTTTTATTTTAACATATCTCAATTTTTGATAGGAACTTTAATAATATATTCATTAAGATTTGGTTAATTTTATAAATTTATTCTGAAATATAATTTGCATTTACATGTACCTCTTTCCCCCCCCCCTTTTTTTTTGTTGACCCTCTCCCTTTTTTCTCCAGCCAAACTGTTATCACTACGAACAAAATGGGGGAAATGCGGATGAATGTATCGATAAACCGATTAAATTCATGCGGGTTTCGTTCAGCCCTCTATTTTCTGAAAATCAACGGCGTCAATATTTCACATGTGCGGTTAGGTTAGGATAGGTTTTCCAAATGATCGTCACTCACGGCATTTATTGGTGACATTTTATGTTACGAAGCGTCATCGATCAATAGCTGACGCCTCTGAATTCAGTTTCTTAATTGGACAAGAGTCAATCAAATGCGGGCAATTTTTATATTGAAAAGTCAGTTTAAGGTGTTATTATTGTGCGTTATTTATTCAAAAATCAATGATTTCTGTCTTTCTGTAAAAAAAAAAGAAGTTGCATCCTTTTTTAATCTTTGGTTATTGGTATTTCTTCTATGTTGAAAAAAAATGCTTTTCAATATCATTGAAGATAAAGGCAAATCTTATAAAAGAATTTATGTTTTGAAGAAGAAGTCATAATATAAGGCTTTGCAACCAACCCGTATGTATGTATATATAACAGAAAAGGGGGCGCCATTTGAGAGAGTTAAATTTTAATCAGACATAAATGTGACGGACATAACTCTTAATGTCCCAATAAAAAGAAGAAAATGAAAAGCGTTTAACTGCTCTGTAAAATCAGTCTTGTATACATGTGCATTTATATGCGAATTTATTCTGGTTGAAGTGATTCGTGTTTCTTTGTTTTTCGTTAATAATTTTCTGCGTAAAGATTGCAGTAACTTTATTTTCAATTGTTTGCACATTCAATCCTTTTTCTCTCATATTTCACAAAAAGAGGGAAACGAATGAAAATGTCGATAAAAAAAAAATCGTTACAATTTGGATATTAAAAAAAAAAAAAAAAAAATTTGCAGTATTCTCATTATAATCGAAATAATGTTTTCGCATGAACTTTGGATTATTAAATTTCTATTAAACTGACCTCGAAATATTATTTTGTGGATTTGCAATTTCAACCCCCCCGTGGGGCGTGGGTGGGTTTCTCTGGAAACGTATATTTGAGCAAAAGGGTATAGGGGCATTGGTGGCACAGAAACGAATGCGCCGACATGTAAGCCTTTACAGACACATAGAAAGGAGACGTACACCAACATAGGAACGCAGACGCATTCCAATGCGGAGGCTCGTAAAGGAATGAAGTTCATCCCCGTACGAAGCCAGAAAGCAGCACTGCTAGGTGGTTTGAAATGGAAGGGGGTGGCAGCTTTCGCTCTGGCTATAATTTGAATTCCGAATGAATTGAGTTCCAGCCTTGTTCAAAAGTCGTTCGAATCTGTCGGAATAATGTCTCCCTGCAACGGGACGTTACCGCGCATTTAATGTGAATCGTCTTTTTCCGGCGTTCTAGAAGTTTATGCCCTTTCTTCAACTACTTAAAGTACGTGAAAGCCAGATCATCTTCAAGCCTGGATTCCCTTACGTTAAAATGCCGTGATCTCACGGTTAATGTCAAGCCAAAACGTTAAGATAAGACAAAATTATGACCGTGGAAAATACGATCCTACTCTCTCAACTCACTGCTATCATTTTTTATCAGTTAAGCTGTATTTTCCTTTAAAAGACATATCGATAAGATTCTTTCTCCATTCAATGCGATTTTGATTTTTATATTTTCATTATAATGAGAATAGTTTTTATGGTGATTATTCCAATAGTTTTCCTTAGCCACATTTTAGATTTTGCATTTATATTGCAGAATTGTCATTTGGAAGTGATGGTAAGTTTTTCAAAGTTCTCAGTGGATTGTACTTTTATTTATATCCAAGAGTTTTTGATATTTTGGAAATATCTTGGATATAAATAAAAGTACAATTCACTGATGACTTTGAAAAACTTACCATCACTTCGAAAAGACAAGTGATAACTGTAAAATATAAATGAAAGCACTACATACGCAGGACTTAAAAAAAAAAGTTTCATAGGAAAGACAAGTGACAACTTTAGAATGTAAATGAAATCCAATATGCACTAATGAGTTTTTAAAATTTTTCATTGTATAGCAATAGAGTGAATGAAGAGTTCTCATTTTATTGAATTTTTTGAAAAAAAAAATAGCTGTGTGGTTCAGCTTTAATTTGAGACATCGTGTTGTACTTGTCGTTGGAAGTAGTCTCGTCTATAGAGGCTTGCAGGCAGCCAAGCTGGCGGGCAGCCACTTGTCTGACACAACTCTAGTCTTCTCTACTTATACTTACGGTCGAGTACAAGAAGTGCACGTGGACGAAAGAACAGGAAAAATTGAGTCACTTGGAACGTCCACGAAAGACAGAGAAGAAAGGACTCACTAAAGATATGACAGAAACACAGTCTATTTCGAAAAAGTCAAGGAAAGGCAAAATATGATACGGAAAAATATTACATATATATTTCATCTTGTATACAATATCAATTCAATTCTTGAAAAAATTGTTAATTTTCAGAATTTTTTATTATTTCCTAGTATTCTATATTCTCTGCTATTGGTATTTACATTTTACAATGTGTATCGTACGTCTCAAAAAGTTTCATTTAGAAAAGGAAATTTAAATTCTGATTCAATAGAGTTCTAATAGAATTATCTTTATCAACGTAAAGTGGGGAAAAATGTACCCTTATTAAGGTGTCGGTTTCTCATTAGTAAAATTGATGTTAGTTTCTAACCTAGAAGATAGTATTCTCTCCTTGTAATTCCGTCATGAGAGAGAAAGAGAAAAAAAAGAGAGAGTCAGTGAAGTAACTTTTAAAGCGAAACCTGTCCTCACAAGTGCTATAGTGTAAGTAGTAGAGCTCGAGCTATGGTCGGACGAGGGTTCGTCGGATTACTTACACCACCACAGACAAGACTACTTCAAAAGACAAGTATGCGGTGTCTCAAATTAAAGAGGAGCAACCCGTTTAAGTTTGAACTATCATTTTTCATGAAAAAAAAAAAAATTGTCAATTTCTTCAAAATTTTACAAAACCTTTCATTTGAAGAAATTTGTTG